CATCCCCCGGGGGTCCCCCCCAAGCCCCCCACTCACACTTGACAGCGTGCAGCACCCGGCTGTCCAGCGGTTTCCTGCTGGGGTCGTTGGTGGACGAGCGAATCCCCGTCCCGCAGCTGTTGGCCAGCGTGTTCCTGCCAGACCCCAAAAACCCCAGCTTGAACCCCCCCCAAAAACAAACCCCACCCCTCCGGGACCCCAACTGAGGGCGGGGGGCACCCCTGGGGGGGCTCACCTGTCGAAGAAGGAGGCGAGCAGGCGGCGCAGCAGCACCTTGTGCCGCGTGCCCGCGCTGACGTGGCAGTTCATCAGCTGCGCCCGCGTGATGTACACGTTGGTACCTGGGCGGGGGGCACAAAAAGGGGGTCAGGGGGTCCCCAAAACCCTGTGGGACCCCCCCCCTTAGCGTGTCCCAGTACCGGTGACCAGCTCCAGCTTCTCGGCGGGGTCTCCCTCGTCGTAGAGCTTGGGGTGGCAGCGGTTGCCGATCTGGGTGACGAGCTCGGCCGGCAGCGACGCCAGGTCCTGGCGCAGGCGGGCGCGGGCCCGGGGCTCCGGGGGGGGCTGCTCGGGCAGGGAGCGGTGGCGGCGGGCGGGCGCGGCGCCGCCTCGGAGAATTTGGCCATTTTCCTGCTGCCGTTGCCGCCGGAGTCCTTGGCGGCCCCGTCCCAGAGGCGTTTGACCACGAAGGTGCACTGCACGCCGTCGGGCTCGCCCTGCTCCGTCTTCACCCGCGACACCAAGGGCAGCGCCGCCGCCCAGCCCTGCCCCGCCGAGGTCTGCGCCACCGGGCTCTGCGGCTCCGAGCCCGGCGTGTCGTCCCCGTGCAGCCCCTGAGAGTCACAGCTGGGAGAGCTGACCTGCAAATAAATATTTGTCATTGTTATCTTTTCTAGAAAAATCTGTTTTGGCCAGGGTTTGTGTCCTGGAAAGATGAGAACGTTGAGGTTTGGGGGTCTGGGCTCTGAGCCCAGCATGACATCTCCATGTAACCCTGAGAGTCACAGCTGGGAGAGCTGACCTGGAAATAAATATTTGTCAGTGTTATCTTTTCTAGAAAAATCCGTTTTGGCCAGGGATTGTCTGCTGGGAAGGTGAGAACACCCAGGTTTGGGGGTCTGGGCTCCAAGCCCAGCGTGGCATCTCCATGTAACCCTGAGAGTCACAGCTGGGAGAGCTGACCTGCAAATTGATATTTTCAGGGTTATATTTTCTGGAAAAATCCGTTTTGGCCAGGGTTTGTCTGCTGGGAAGGTGAGAAGGTTCGGAGAAAAAGGGAATTGTTGAGTTTGCAGGGTCCCCAGGAGTGTCACTGTGATATTTTCTGAAAAATCCCTTCGCCAGGATTGCTTCTCCTGGGAAGATGAGAAGCCCCAAAGAAAATGAAACCAATATTATCTGATTTGCTTCTCCTGGGTTTTGCTTCTTTAGAATAGTTTATCCAACAGGTGATTGTTTTATTGTTTATTTATTTATCTCTGCTGTGAATTGTTCTGACTTAATGACCAATTATGGTCAAGTTGTGTCAGGACTCTGGAAGGAACCACGAGTTTTTCGTTATTATCTTTTAACTTTCTGTCTGTATCCTTTCTCTATTCTTTTATATAATTTAATATCACAAAATAATAAATCAGCCTTCTAAGGACACGGAGTCAGAGTCATCAATTCCTCCTTGGTCCTGGGGACCCAGAAACCACCACAATTTTTGGCAATTTTGTGCCTTCTAATGAAAACCTGCCAAACTCACAGCAACGAGACTGCTTTAGTGATAAGAAATAATAAACAAAATTGAATTTGAATGTGAATTATTGTCTCAAGTGCCTTCAATCCAGACCCAGAGAAACCCACAAAAGTGTGAAACAGATTACAGAGCACTTTAAAATTAGGGTTTAAAATTAGAAATTCAGGGTTTGGGATTTTCAGTGGATGGGAGCAAGACGGAGAGCACAGCTCCTGGGTTTCTTCTTCTTCTTCTTCTTCAGGGCTTTGGGATTTTGTGACTGGGTGGAAAAATCTGCATTGAGGCTCTTTGGGATCTTTGCTGGGTTAAATAATCCAGGTGTCAGTTAAATAGGTGTCAGCTCTTAATTGGATAATTTAGTCTTTTAAGAGACCAAAGGAAAGAAACGTCAGCAATAACTCCGAGGGCTGTGGTCTGCAGGTTGTTCACCAACAGGTGCACCTTTGATTGGTTCCATGGGAAATTATTTTAATAATACTATTTTAATTATTAATTTAATTATTTTAATAACGACCAATCACGGTCCAGCTGTGTTGGACTCTCTGTCTGCCACGAGTTTTTATTATTCACTCCTTTCCTTTGCAGCCTTCTGGTGAAATCCTCTCCTCTATTCTTTT